ACATAGGAAGTGCAGAGAAAATGGTATAGAGAATATGGTGACTGGTGTTAGTGTAGAAAGGTTTGGATGAGCTCATTGGAGGAGGTCCTTGCACAAAATAAATCATGGCAGAAAAATGCTACCTGTTTCAACTTAGTCCTAGTCAAACTTGTTGGAACATTTTCATTATTTGTTGACAAAGCCTTGTTTGATATATGTTACTCAGATTATCTATTGTAAAAATTATTTTCAGAATAATATTCCAAGCTCCCTTCTTCCCCTCTGGCCCTATTCCCCCCCCCCCCCCCCCCCCCCCCCCTTTCCCCCGCAAAGCAATTTTGAAAACAACTGAAACGTCTCTGTGCCAACACTGCACAGGGAAGGGGAGGGAGGGGGGATTTGAAATGTGTTCATTTTATAAATGAATGTCGAGGATGTGCGGTTTAATACCAGGGTCATAGTATTCTTATGAGTTGAGACAAAGAAGCTTCGAAGAGTCCTGAAGCACCTTTCATTTCAAATCAACATCCAGTACAAACCGGCACTATTAATTTCAAAACTATTATATCAGTTTCGGGCGCCTCTTGGGTGGCTAAAGGGAATCACTTGGGTCGGGCAATCGTCGATTATGTCTGTCGCTAAACACTTCTAAGTAAAATAATCGAAAAGTAATATTCATTTCCGGTTCTTTTGTGTCAGCACGCTTCGCTTATTTCCTGTATTTAATAATTCATTCCTTGCAAGAAAGCCGGTCAAAGTGTTTACATTCGAAAAATATCACGTGTGTAAATTCTCCGATTTCATCTTCAAAGGACGATAAGCAATTTTAATAATATCTGTTCTAAAGCTAGAATTGCCGATGAAACAGTCCTTGACGTTAATTTTCAGTTTAAAATATTACACGATACTTCCATTTTGAAAACAGCATCTGATCAAGAAAAGCGCGATCTTGCGCTCTACACCAAATCTGCCCTTAGCGTTCTGCAGGGGACTCTTGAAATCGTAAGATACAACGAAAAATTCGATATTAATCGACAGTTTCGCTTATCTGCTCGTAAAAATTAATACACTTAAGTATTCAACGATGCCGCAGCCCTCACCGAAACTGTAAATTTCAACCGAGTGACGTTCACTTCGCTTGGATGGGTAAATCAATTGAAACTAACCTACGACGCTCCAGTGATCGTTTGTTCGTCATGTTAACTGACTGACGTGAAAAGTCAGCTATGGTTCACTTGACCCCAAAGAAAATGCTGTCAAATCAAAGAAGTACGCAGAGAAAAATATCAGCCGATCCTGCGTGGTATTTTTACGTTTTAAAGCTGCGACGACTCACTTTACCAATAGATAACCTGGCCAGAACGTACTCTGAGTAAACACGCATCAATAATTATTTCAGCCGTCAACGGTGCGTGACGTCATATTTATAGCACCTGATATACTGGTGTAAAACCTCTGTCGAATCTCGTCTCTCATTTTAACTTTAAATTATTTATCCTGTGAAAAACCTGATTTCCATGTCGAGAGCAAGGCTAAAACTAAATTTAGCTGACCACTACAACTACAAATATTGCCAAAAATTTGAACCGGCACATACCATGTCGAGTTAATTTCGAGATTATATTATGTCGCTTCGCAATTTCACGGGAAGGCTGGAAAATATTCGAAAGGAATACATCGATGTTTCTAAAGGAAAAAAAAACGAAGGACACTGCCAAGGTTAACTTCCTTCTTCAACAGAAAACAAAAGCAGATCTCTGTCACTTGTCGGATGTTTCGACTCCTGACATAATCACGTGTACCGCATGAGCATTGCCATAGTGTTACTTGATGGTCACGTAGCTGTCTCGATTATATGTCAATTTCATGTGTCATTTATCGTGTATTATTTGACTTAAATCCTTAACATTTTTATTTCAGTGGTCTTGGTCAAAAGATACCTTCACAAAAGATCAATTCAACGATGAACTCACGTTGAAATTGCATTACAGGCGTAATTTAATTTCATGTATGTAGAAAGCGTCATGTCTTGGACCTAATTAAATGATAATAATTTGTCGCACGTGTCACGTAGACAGCTGAGCGAAAGAGAAGAATTAAGAAGATCTAGAGGATATCGGAGAAGAATATTCCTCAACCCTAAAGAATAAAACACACTAAGTATACTCTTGCCTGAAGCAACGACCCTGATCTACTTACCGGCATAATTTTGGACTTTGTAAGACTCTGGTTCCCATCTCGAATTGACACGCGACGAGAAACTCGGCGAATCGGCGATACGTTAGGACAGCTCAAGATTCGTCAGAACAAAGAACAAGAAGACTTAAAAAGAAGCTTTTTAAAACTACCTCAGTTCGGTTTTCAACATAAATATGAAAGGTTTTTCAGTTCGGCTGTGTTAAAATGAGCTTTAGTTGACGGCAAAAACGGCGTCCTTTCGATAATTATGCAACTCGAGTGTTTGAATAATTCAATTATGTTGCTCACTGTCTATCTACTACGCACTAGTACTTTGTACTTTCCCAAATGCGAAGTACGTCAGAATCAATATGAGCTGTGACGAGTAAGACCGTCATCCCTTGCGTACAAGAAAAAAATGTATCGCACGTGCAGATTAATTATTGCCAACCGTACCAAAAAAATTATCAGCAAGTCTACGAATTACCTTAACTAAGTTAACTAATTTGTAAACACTTCTTCAAATTCAGTCGAATTTAGTGGGAATATAGGCGAAAAAAACAATAGAGACCAAATATTTTTGCTTCGTTAAAAACTGCTGAGGGCAGTTGACCAAAGTTCAGTTTGCGTCAATATGTATATTTCCGTCGATCTCAGATTCCAAAATAACTTGTACAGCAAGTAGCCGGTGGGGGGTACTCCTCGAAAAAATTATGTTTCTTCCCTTTTCCTCGCCTGGCCCTAAAAATACTAACATCCAGTTTATAAACAAGGAAACTGGTTAAGACCAATATTTTTTGGGCTCGATGGGGTATTGCTCTTTGGGAAAAAAAAAAAAAAATGTTTTTCTTTTACTGCGCCTGGTCCCTGAAATCCTGAGATACCAGTTTATGGGGAAGGAAACTGGTCACGGCTGAAATTACCTTCTTTTATGACCATGCCGCTATATTTAGTCGAGATTAATATATTAAAAATTAACGCCGATGTATGGCATCACTTTCCAAGGCGACTGGCTTCAGGTGAATGACTACACAACCCAACTGTGAGACCAGTATTCCACTGGCTTTACTGAATATTTCACTCAGACAACTACTGTTAAGGTTTTTATTGGTTACGTCTTCCGATAATTAGATTTACAAGATTCTAAGGTTCTAGCTCGTCAAAAAGAAACTATCTGCACCCGGGGGCAACAACACGCCGTTTGATAAGATAATCAGTATTCGGTTTCATGCTAGGTTCTAGTTAAAAAGTAACATAAATGTTCGCAGTGTTGAGTTCTTTAGGTTTGCAAGATTTGATTCTTAAGGTTCGCAAGGTTCAGTTCAGATTCGTGTTCCTTTTCTTAACAACTACTAAAGAACTCCTAGAAATCTGGATTTATTTTCTCTTAATAAAAAGCGTAGATGAATTTTTTTTCTTCGAAGAGAACATTTCAATGTTTGAGTCAGCGAATTATTTCCAGTACTGATCCGAAGATATAATTTTTGTGCCTACCGCTTCCTACTGAAGGTAAAGCCACGTACTGTATGTCGTCGAAATGAGTGAGTGAGTGTAACAGTAGAATTCCGATCTTGACCCAATTTTGACGCGATGTTTCCTGGTGCGACATATTGTTTGTTTCGGAGTGCTACAGAAGACGATAAACATCTCTCAATAATTTTCGGAAGGCGCGTGAAAATACAAAACTTTGCTTTGCAGAAATATCTTATGAGTGTGATCGGCGCATCATGAAACTAAGAGGAAAAGATTTTTCCTTGAAAAGAGAAAATATCTTCATTTGAATCAGCGAATTAAGCCCGTCAGATCCGAAGATGTAATTTTTGTGGCTACTCTGCTGCCTATAGGAGGCGAAGCCACATACGTTGTCGAGATGAGTGAGTGAGTGCAACAATAGAATTCCGATCTTGACCCAATTTTAACCTGATGTTTCCCGGGCCACTTGTTGTTTTTTTTCGGAGCATCTTAGTAGCTCGAAATCGCACTCAATATAGAGTTGAGTTCTCTCCTTTTTCGATTTCTGGCTAATAGCCACTAGCACATTATTTTCTCAGTTCTTACCTTGACACTACGGAAGACGATAAAAATCTCACAAATCATTTTTGGATTGCGTGCGATTAAAAACAAAATTTTTCTTTTAGTCCCTCTTATGCGCAAGTGCAAAGAAGTGTTTCTGATAATGGCTGTGAGGATCGAAAACATTTTTTTCTTTTTCGGTATGAACGGAACTTTCCGCTGCGTGAAAACGCGCTTTTCAATTTATCCAGTTAGGTGAGGCCCAGGGGAGAAGAGTACTTGGGTAAAATTTAGCTAGGTATATGCCGTTCGCTTCTATGAACCCCTATCCATTATAACCTGTTCTTTGTTCGATAACAGACCCCGTCTTGATAACGTTTGGTAATATGCTAACAACTTTTTAACCGCGAATCTTCCCATTTAATAATCTCTCCTTATACGAATTTTCTTATTCCCAAAAATCCCCAAAATGTGCGACCCCATCCTCGTACACTATTGATTTTGCAGCCATATTAACCCTTTAACATCAAAGATCTAATTGTCAATTCTCCCCTCTAGCTACTACACATTTCACTCTAAATTGATTGTGAGAATTTAGTGTTCAATCGAGGTAATTACTTCTACCTGATGAGTTTGAGTAATCTCACTATCTGTTTGCTGGATAATGTATGGATACCTTAGGGAGAAGTTACGTGGTAATCAATTCGTGAAAATGCGACCCCATCCAAAGACAAATCCCCATTAACCTATTACGAAGAGGTGCTTCTCCCGGGAAATGAGGACGGGGCCACGAAAAGTAAGGAAAGGACATTCAGATATTACTCAAGTCATTCGGTTGAAATAGTTGTTTTATTTTACAACGGTTGGTTTAACGGGATATTTCCAAATTAAATTTATTTCACCGAAGAGCAAACGAGATGGACTTTTAAATTGGAAAAACTAGTAATAATTAAAAACATTAGCATCACAGTGCTGCCACTTTTGAACGAAAACACCCAAAAGTAAAGCACACGGAGGTATCGAAGTCAAAGCAGTTCTCCACCAAGTTATGTTCAGTTACCTTTGAACTAGTAACTTTTGTGTCAAATCTCAATGCCGTCAAATGAAGCTGCGAACAACCCTTACACGTTTAAGTTACACAGTAGTCAAAAATTACCTTCATCTCGGAAAAACTTAAAAATTAACCAATGACTTTAAAGACAAGACTTCCAGTTATCAGTCCTAAAACATTTCAACTACTCGAAAAACTGGAGTTGCTAAAGGTTTGTCTACGAATGGAATAAACACAATGATTCTTGCACGTGGCGGAGAACGTTTACTGTTTCACATGACGTCGTCACTCGCCGCTCATATGGTCTTCTTGGCTTTCTTAGCTTTTGTCGTCTTCTTCTTCCCTTTTCGTTGAACTCTCTTTCCTTGAATTACGTTAAGTTTATCTTTGATGTGTCCCTTCCTATTATTCTGTAAAAGGAGAAGAAAAAAACAAGGTGGTATAGTGTGCTTAAAGAAAAACTGTGCAGTATTGCGGTTTACTCGTTCGCAGAATACACATCTCCAAGTGCTCGAAAATTTTTCCGTGAACTCACTATTGCGAGAGGCATAGCAGTTTTCTCAGAGCGAAGCCCGAAGTAACTGCGAGCTAGAAGGACCGATTTACGTGCAAATTTTTTGAGAGAACTGGTACCAATTCTTTGTGCAGGAACAGGCGACCGGTATCCTTCAAGGACTCGCTGATATCTACGTAAAAGCGGAGTCACTCACAAGTCAACGAGAGCCGTGGGAAGAAGTAAACCAATGAAAACTGCAGAAAAAGGAAGAGGACTTTCTCGATGCGCATAAAGATTATAACAAAGGCTAAAGGGGTGTGAACCATCATATCTCGAAAAGATCTGGAAAAATATTTATCACGAGATGAACCATAGGAAGGTCTGTAAGTAGCACTTACCCTTCTCGGAATATATTTGGTTTTAGGTTTTAAATTTGTTGTCCTCAGAGGTACTTTGCTCTTGACTCGATTTGCATAATCTTTAACCCTGGTTATACCAAAAAAAATTGTGTGATCACTCAGTTAAGTAGATACAACTTGATGTAAACATACACTTACATCAGTTTAAACGGAAAAAACAAACTTCACTGAAGGCTCTCAACGGCTACAGTAATTTCATGGCAACTAAGAGACGTTTAATCGAGAACTAGATTGGTGTTGCTTCACTTCGCTCTGTGATTGGTCTGTAGACAACTCGCGCCACCTTCTCAACCAATCAGAAGCAAAACTACGACCAATTGTGCCTTGATCACCCGCGCTTTCTCGGTTTTTTTTTCAGTTTGCTAGTTTTAAGTTTCAATTGGCTTCACGTCATATTCTCCTATGCTCTAATTGGCTGTTGTGATTACTTTGGTTTTTGTTTACCACACTCAGTGGAAATACGCTCAACTGAATCAACCTGACAAAACCGAACCTACGTCTGAAACTTGCTGGAAAGAAGTTTGAGAAGAAGAAAATTACTTGAAACTAAATATAAATGATCAATCTTACTTCAGATCAGTGTTTCCTGGGAGCAACTTACTTGTAAATCCTAACTAACCAATGCTCGGAAGTGAAAGCTTCCTCTAAATGTTCTAAATTAAAGTTTTTGTTTCCGATTTCTACGTTACGAGTCCTGTCAAAACCAGACGGAGACCGAAAGTCCAACTGAAAATAATGAAAAAAAGGAAATGCGTTAAATAAATAGTAAAAAGAGTTTCTTTCATTTAGAGATCAAGAGAAAGAAAAAAATTGTCAATCTTAAAAAGGGGGTGGCCATCGCACCCTTGCAATGTTGGCGATTGTCAAATACATTCTGTCACGCATTCGCAACATTTTGGTAAAAGTTCCCTTCCTTCGCGGTTATGAATATTTTACGAAGAAAACTATGCACCTTCCTGATGGCTGTGTCAATCAACAGATGGCGAAACTGTACATTTACAACACCAACAAATTTAAACAGTTTACCTGCATCTCCCCAAAGCGATAATAACACATTTTGTACATGAGACAGTTGAGAAGGATTGGAGACCCTGCCGAGTCCACCCGGAACTCGCCTTGTGGAGTGAAGTAATCTGACTCCTATAAACCAACATACCAAGAAATCAACTCGAAGAAACAAGTAAAAAGAGGAGAGGGTGGT